TCTATCTTCAATAGACTCACGATTCAAACCATTGGAATTTCCAAAATCTCCACAAAACCCCTTCTAATTTTAACCATATTTTCACTACTGACCGACCTCAAGAGGCATTTCTTGGAGTTCTAGTGAGAAGCCGTTACCAATGGAGTTCAACCAAGTCATTTTGTTTATTTGTTATCAATCTTCAGTAATAAAGATATTAGGTTGTAGAACCTGTGTTAATTCTGACAGACTGCCTTCCAGTGAAGGTCCAGTTTCTCCTTGAAAATATTCACTGATGTGGCTGATACCACTTGTTCGGGTAAGGCGTTCCAATATTTGACTACTCAATGAGAAAAACGGGACCCCACTTTAAGTTTATTAGATCGTGGTTTATGAAACTTCTTGCCATGATCTCGGAGATTATTAGTGCTGGAGGGAGCGAAACATAAGATATATTAACACCCAAATCATAATTAAAGATACGAAATGCCAGTACAAGGTCATCTCGCGTCCTACGATACGACAAGAGGAAAAAATTTAGGTGTTTCAAGCGCTCATCGTAAGGGAGTTCAGAAGGACCTTTCACTAATTTCGTTCTCACACTCTGGACACGCTCAAGTGAGTTAACATCCTTTACCAGACATCGGTTAGCTGCTTGGATGCAGTACTCTAAATGTGGTCTTACATAGGTGGGATATAAAATTCGAAACACTTCCTCGTCAGAAGATTTGAACGCTCGGCGGAGTGACCACAACGCACGAAAACCTTTGACAGCGGCTGCGTTGCAATGCGTAGTTTTTTTTAGGTCATGACTTAATATTACTCCTCAGTCTTCATGTTCTTGAACTCACGGAAGAGATTTAGCATCAATGGAATAATGGTAACTATAGCCGTGACCGATGTGCATTAGCACACTCTTCCTAGAATTGATTTCTAAACCCCAACCTCGAGCCCATCTAACTAAATCGTCTAAATCAGCTTGAAGATCCAGATGATCAGCCTCACTTCTTATTGTTCTCCAGATTTTTGCGTCATCCTCAAATAATAATGTCGACGAACTTAGCAACAGTGGTAACTCATTTACGTAGAGAATGGAGAGCCTAAGATGGTGCCATGGGGTACACCACTTTTGACCGGCTTCCAATCGGATAGAGCCCCATTGACCCTTACTCTCTGTCTGCGGTCACATAAGAAGTTTCCTATCCACTCCTGTACAGTGCCTATTATTCCGAAGCTTGTGAGCTTCTGCATAAGACCTAAGTGTAAAACTTTGTCAAATGCTTTGCTAAAATCTATGAATATCACATCGACAGACAGACCTTTGTCTAAGGCTGCTGTCCAACCCTCTCTTGCAATAAATAAGTTAGTCAAGCATGAATGCTTGTCACGAAATCCTTTTGCTCAGGAGCTAACAGACTGTGTGAATCTGTAGAATTATGATCTACTATGATATTAGCACTGCTCTAATAATAGACTTAATCCTAAAATTGTAGATTTGTTATGATGTAACTGCCTAATCTATAAGATCTTACGTGGAAATCACATCATCATCTACACCAACCCACTGTGACGTAACAATTACCAATACATAATATAGAACAATCTTAGGCTAGAGATGGAACAATACATTTAATATCAATAAAAGATATAACGCAAAAGTTATCAGGGACCACGCCTGCATGGCCGAGCCATGTCATACGACCAACTCCAATTTATTTAATTTCTTGTTCCTGCCTTCTCCATTGTTGGGTATTTCCCAGCGTTGAAGTGTTGAATGGGTATTTTTCGTATTGTCTCGTGTTAGGGCCCAATGCCACCACAAATCTATGTGGCTTAGCAACCTAACCCGCTTTATCTTTTCAAGTAACTTAACGACAATGCTGGTCAGACTGACAGGCATGTAGTTAGATACGATCTGTCTTAGCTTTGGCCCGATCGGATTCAGCTAGTAGATCTGAATTATCGTGTAACAATAATGGGGGAATACCATTACTACGTTTCATTTGCCGTTTAACATACGAAAACAGTCGTTTCGGACAAGTACGTCTATCATATACCGACTGTCATCCATAAGTAGTACGGGATTTAGCTATGGTTTTCTTACAAATATTCCGGAGTTTTTGGTACTCGCGCATAAATGATGCGTGGCCCGTCAACAAGATTAAGTGCCAAAAGTGTCTCCTTCTCTTTAACAGCTTCCGGGTTTCCTTATTAATCCATGGAGAGCGATGCGATAGCTTACGTGCTGACCATGGGATAAACGGCGACGTTACGCACTCGAATATGGTCTTAAACTTACTCCATTCCATTCATTCCACTTGATCCATCTGCGTCGACCGACCAATCGGTCGAGATAGCACAGTCTCTGACTACCGGAGTATTAGCTCACCAGATATTGGGACGGGGTGAAGCGGGTGCAAATTGTACATCATGTGTCCTAAACTTAAAGTGAAGTACAACGTGATCACTGTTCACTAGTGGGGGAAGGTGCTGAATATCAAAGACATCCTCACAGTAGTGGGTCAGAGCGAGGTCCAGCAGTGACGGATCACGTTTCAAATCAATATGTGTCGGTTTAGTGATACATTGGACAAGTGCACACTGAATAACGGTTGATAAAAGTTCGCTTTCAAAACCTCCACCTGGAGCTGTAAGCTCTATCCAATTGATGTGTGGTGCATTGAAGTCCCCAATGAGGAGACAACATTCTGCCATACTCCAAGAACAGATGTGTCTTAGGATAAAGTCGTCAGCAAGACAACACGGACTACGGTATATTCCGCCTATAGTCACTAACTAATTTCTAGATTTAATCTTACAACATGCTACCTCACATGTACCACTAACATGAGCCTCTGATATGATCTATTGTATAAAAAAGTGATCCCTAATGTATAATATTGTGCCTCCCCCCTTGCGACTTAAAACTTTCTCACTTCCAATACAGATATTGCCTGCGATGATGGATGAACATTCAATGTCTACGGTGAACCAAGTTTCTGTAACAACAATTATATCGCGACATAATTCATCCACCAACAGACGTAACTCGGACGTTTTATTCCTAAGACTACAGGTGTTCGTGTAGCACACACTTAAGGTGTTTTGGTAATCATTCGTTCCACCCATACAGGCCTCGGAAGCAGTGGCTTCCAAGACCTGAATACCCGAAAACCCTTAATGGTAAGGTTCGTTTCGCCATTTAACTTGCGAGTTCTCAAATCCGTCAGAGCATTCTTCCCCTTGATTCGATCCTCAAGCGGCAAATCTGGTCGGATACGAATATTTGAATCACGAGTTTTCTGTGCGCTTTTCAATAATATATCTCTTTCTTCAAAATTCCCGAGAACAAGCTTCAAGATTCTTCTTGGTTAGGTCTCGCCTCCAACCCATTTACCGAGTCGTATCACTTTCGTGATATGTACCCCTGAAACCTGTTCAGTTAGTACATTTCTTACCACGGATTCCACTAACCTCAGATCATGTGCATGTCTCTTATCAGAGTCATTGTCTATCGACGCCTCTAGATTACAAATAATCAAACTAGGGAGGGGGTTAGCTTCTTTTAGAATCGTGTTTGCAGCTATCGATCGTGACCTTACATCCTGTATATTAACTACTGGTATCTTACTATTAGTTTTTATTGTAACAGAGTCATTGGAGTCGAGCGAGTGACTCACAACAATGTCTGAATAGGCTTTACTTTGGGACTTTGGCGGAGTGGTCTGAGTGTCCACCAAGGACTTATCAAGTGAACGGTCATTAGTTTTAGCTGTCTTCCTTACTCTTATGTTTCCGCGTCATCCATATTCCTTCAGTCGTAGCATCTACATTCGAACTACTCAAAACAGTGATTGTTTTATTTGGATCAGCAGTTGCTGCTGTAGCAACACGGTCACCAATATCTAATGAGGTGTCACTCACTGATTGTTTCGGTGTAGAAATTTTAAGTTCGGGTTGCACAATTAGATGTCTGACTTGCGCCGGGACAGCACTTACGACACTAACGCAGTCTTCGCCATCAGCGCCAATATTGTCAGTACAGCCCTCATCAACCTTCTTATCAGCCAACACCAGGAAACTAATTGCTTCCTGGATGAGTGATGTATTGCTTATGCAACAAAAACTACAAAGCCAATGAGAGTTGGGCCTCGAGCAACTTTTATATTCAGCGGGGCTTAGTCGGGTACACATCTTGTAGAACCACTTATTGCACTCGTCACATTGCATCCCTTCCTCCACGGGGAATAAGCAATATGGTTGTCCACATTTATGAGCAGATTTGACCATCTTGAAAACCTAATACAATGGTGACACAAACAGGATATGTAAAAGAATACTAAAACCTTGACTAAATTAATCAAGTAAAAGTCGACCAAGTATGCTTCGATGCAATAAATACACAAAAGCGAAATCGAACTACTCAATACAACATCACTTTAACTGGAATAGATTCAATTAAAGTGTAAACAGTAGTTTTGATGGATAATTTACGATCAAAACAGTTAAGTAACTCAACGAGAAACAATACCACTGTCCTTTTAGATAGCGCGGGCAGCATGGGATATTTAATTCAAAACATTTCCTCGTCAAAAGATTTGAACACTCGACGAAGCGACCATAACACACGAAAACCTTTGACAGCGGCTGTGTTGCGATGCGTGGTTGTTTTTAAATCATGACTTATTATTACTCCTAAGTCTTCATGTTGTACGCATCATTTCTTTGTGGCAAATGTGCATCAAAATTAGATCTCCCCCTAGCCCGCTTCAGGAGAGAGTAAAGAGTTCCAGCTTTTCAAGCCGCTCTTTGCATAGTAAGCCCCGGAGTTCTGGAATTGCACAGGTAGCTGCCGTCCGTAATTTTTCCAGGATATCCGATACGAAATAAATACTGAAAGGTTACTTAAACATATAGCCTGCAAGTTGATGCGTAATAGGAAGCCGTTTGTCCACGAAACTCTGAAAAGACTGAATAAGGTCTCACAATTTCATATGAAAATTGGTTTCAACTCTTCAGTTCAGTGACCTTGAACTGGGCGGTTTCACCAGTTTTGATATAACAACGTGAGTTCTCGTTGGTTTTCTTTTTATATGTTTCAGCCGACCTCATGTAATTACGATGTGAAGTTGTGATCTCGGGGTTAAATTCACGGTTAGGGCAATTAAAGTGGCACGATGCTTCATGGTCTTATGTCCTACTATCCCGTCATCAAATAATAAGTCACACGAACGTGAAGTATTGTCCCAACTTGATTTACACTCCCGGAATTTTTGCTGTGCTAACGCAACAAGTGTTGTTTTCGATCAACAAAATCTGTTGTGAGCTTACCTTCCCGTAGATCACTTTTCTTTTTTAGCCTTATCCGAGTTGGTAGTTATCTGTGATTTTGCATTCTTATCGGTTTTGATGGTTTTTCATATAGAGGCTAGTTTTAGTATATCTTAATTTTTCATAATATCCGCTTTCGCCTGTCTGAGCATAGCTTTTCATGGCTGTAATCCGTTGCTGGGATTTGCTTAACAACTTATTTTACCATGATCATAAGTACACTTGACGGCGACCTAAATGCCGTTTTCCTGTCAGTTGCAACAGGTGGTGGAACAAACGCAAAGCATGTAGAATTCTTGAATTAACTGCTCACAACAGACTTAGTCAGTTTTTAATTGGGTATGTGATACAGGCAACATGAATGTTGCGAGTTTGCTGAACAATATCACCATTCTCTTGACAGGTCTATGGGAAGAATAGTTAGCGACCCTTAAAATGGCAGTGCTGAAACGAATAAACAAACGGACTTGTAGTGAGGTAGAAAAGGGAGTCTTCGATAACATTAGTTTAGGTGGAGCAAATAAACACCGCTATGACATCGACAGTGTTGAACTCCCAGTAAACTTGTGTCCCCTAACAAGGACTCCCCAGGTAAAACTTTAGTCCTCAAAACTTCTGTAAGCGACTGGACCCTCATCAAGTGTTAAAAGGCTTCAAACGCCACTGTCAAAACTCCAAGACAGCCAAGATATTGTAAAAAAATCAGCTAATGGATTGGTCGTGTAATATATTCCCAAAATTTTCCAACCAGCCAAACCACAGGTTGACTAAATTAAAGGGATCCTAAACTCGATCTACTCAAAATTCGAGAAAGTAATGACGGTTCGCGATGATTCATAATTTGAGCTTCTTTCCAGTCTGCAGAACACAAACGACATACGCTTTATTTATTTATTTATATATTTGAACGCATAAATATTGGTGCAAGGGGCACCAAATATATATGCACCACACCATGTTTTTGTGTGTGGGCTGAGATACTGCCCGGATGCCCAAACCGAAGCAGGTGGTTTTTCTTAGGGGGCCACGCTCCGAGCATTTGACCTAAAGGTCTAGTCCACAAGGCAATGGAGCATCGTGAGGAGATGCAGTCCTATGGAAGCCGGTGACCAAGAAATTAGTCCTCTCATTTTCGTAAACAACACCCGTGGTGTGAGAAGGTAGTGAGTAGGAGTTCCCTAGCAGAGGCTATATATGCGAGACCATGTGAGAGCATTTCGAGAGGGAGAGCGGACTCTCCCCACTCTCGGCCGTACCAGGGCATTTGGGGGCAATCGGATTGAAAGTCAAATTATTCCATTTTTATTAGTTAGAAAATAAGCTTTTCTCCAAGGAGACATGTTCAGCAACTTTGTTTTCTAATCCGAGAATGAATGTTCTTGTAACTAACATGTAAATAATGTCTATTTCTTAATGCGCTAGTTTTTTTTAATTTACTCAGTGATCTATTCTACTGATTAGCGAAGCAATGAAGGAAAAATTAAATCAGTCTATTTCTATTTGACAAATAATGACTATTTTATTTGTTTGAATCTACGTCAGTCAGCTATAACGTAGGACAAGGCACATATATGCATCGGTCCAAGTTGCCATACCGCATTAGCACAATAAGATGAACACCGGATTCATAGAAGTAGTTAATTCAGTGGTGGTAATATATAGAAGAAAGAGTGTGTATAAGGAGATAGTGCAGGAAGATAGAATTAGTTCGTAGAAAGAAAGATTTGAAGTGATTTTAATCTCTTAGTTTAAAGGAAGACAGAGAGTGAATACACCGACGCCATTGTGATCGATTCTGAGCCATGTCACCAAGAGTCTCCAACCATTGGTTACGATAGTCACGCGGACCCCAACCATGTAGTCTGCATCTACCAACATGGCTCAGACCAAAAGTTAGTGACTTCAAGCACTGATGCCACGTTTTGGTTTGACCGCCCCTTACTTTCTTCCAATCATCCCTAACACCGGTTAGCTTTGCGCGTCTTAGTAATCAGTGTTCAGGCATACGCAGCACGTGGCCCAACCATCTCAGTCGATGAAGGTTCATAACCTCACCAACTGATTTACCATCATTCCCTAATACCCTGCGTCTAACCTCACTATTACTTACCCAGTGATCCCAGCAGATACCCGCAATATTTCTAAGGCACCTGTGGTCAAATACTAGTAACTTACGTATATCTTCTACTCTTAAAGGCCATGTTTCGCAGCCGTATTCCAGGACCACCGGACTTATCTGATTTGAGATGTTAGAGTAATAATAAGATAACTCAATAATCACACGACCGATAGACAAGCCTCCATTATCCCGAATAATTGTTGGTTTTTCACCATCTCAAAAAGGAAGGGCAGGTTAAATAAGTCGACACTAAAAATGCACACTTTGTCTTTTCCCACGGATATCCGTCACCGTCGGTAAGGTCTCAACAAGTAAGGACTTACTTCCGCCGGTTACCCCTCATGGAGGAGCATAGACCGCCCACCAGCATTCTCCATCAAACTCTGTCCGGGACAATCGTCTCCAGTTCCTATTCTTCCTTTTCATGTCTGCTCCTAATTCTCGATGCAGTGTATTTTTTGGCATTCCTCTTTTTCGTTTCCCTTCAGGATCCCAAGTCAATGCTTGCCTCATGATGCGGTTTGATTTCCGTAATTTTATGTCCTATCCACCTAGGGGAGTTGTAAAACCCTGATTCCAAATCAGTGGTGCACATGGGCTCCAGGATCCTCAAGGAACAAATGGCATATGAACATATTATTGGTCACCAGCCACCATATAACGGCATATCCTGACGTTGTTCCACTGCCTTGTGGATTAGACATTTAGGTCGAAAGATCCGAGTGTGGGGCCCCTTAAGAAAGCCATTTGCTTCGGTTCGGGAACCTGGACAGCATCACAGCCCTCACATAAACCAACGATAACTACTACTCGCCTCATTGTTGTTGTGTGGCGCATGTGTATTTTGTGCCCCCCCCCCACCTGTATCAATGTTTATGTGTTCAAATAAATAAAAGTTGCATGCGATTAAACCATCTAATAAACAGTATTAGAATTTCGTCCCAGGTTCTACATAAAACAGCCAAGGTAGTTCATCAGATTTTACAGATCATGTCACAGTTTCCATATAACCGTCGATTCTGTAATCGAATGTTGCATGAAGTATAATTAGGTTGTTAAAATCGTAATTGTGGTCAAACCAATATATGACTACAAGCTTTATAGTTATTGACTGTGGAGGTGTAAATATCTTAGTGGTTTAAAAGGGTAATTATAACCCATATATATCATTATCTCATTCCAGTTGCGATCGAATTAAACTTATTTTTACCTATCAAATTCTGAGAAATTTATCAATCTTTTCGTTTGTGAACTTACATGGTTAAGTTTAATATAATCTCATCCTTCCAACTTTACCATTTTTGTCAATTATTATCCATATAGGACGCGACGCTAATGTACATCACCCCTGTATGGCAAGATAAAATGCATAGTATGGTATATAATATCAACTTCAATGAAAAGCTAGGCATGAGTAATATTTCTTTCACTGATGTATAAATTTACAGCTTGAACCAATGTATTTTTGTGCGAAGCTCCTTGTTTGTGTGTCCCTATTCTATTGTTCTGCGATAATCAAATTTTTAAAACCAATTTTTATGTTTAACACGTTCCACTTTGTTTCTTGCTCATCTTAATTTTGAGTCTTTCTCTCTAGAAATTGAAAAAAACAACTGTACATTCACACAAATCAACTTAATAGAATCTGGGTGATCATGTTTGCCTCATTAAAAGTTTGGCAGATTGTTCGTAATCAAAATTTCTAGGGATTATCTGCAATCGTAACTGGAGGATCATCAGGACTTGGACTGGCTACAACTAAAAAGTTAGCATTTTCAAATCTCTATTTTATTTGTAGATTAATTGCTGAAGGATGCAATGTGTTGGTGTGTGACTTACAAAAGTCTCCTGTGCTATCAGAACTAGGCAGTAATTGTGTTTATTGTGAAACAGATGTAAGTTGTTCTGTGCATGCATTAACTTTGATTACTTAGACAAAACACAGTTACATTTATGACCATTACTATTATTTCCATCTCTCAGGTTGGCTCGGAATCTGATGCAAAAAATGCTGTAGATTTGGCCAAGAAAAATTTCTCAAAACTCCATATTCTGGTTAATTGTGCTGGATTGGCAGTGGCCTGTAAAACATTTAATATCAAACGACAAAAACCTCATCCGCTGGATTTATTCGAGAAAGTAATAAAGGTTGGTTTTCGGGTTTACAAGTTTTCTTCAAGATGTTGTGGAGCGGCGGTTTCGTGGTTAAGGCATTCAACTTTCGGTCACTAAGTCATTAGATCGAACACTCCTTCATCTATTTCTTTTGGCCAACCGAATAGTGTTGTTGGCCCTCATATTTAGTGTGCCTCGTACAAATGCTTAGGTAATGAGTTAATCTAAGGTCTTTTTAATTTAAAAGCAAAATAGTTCTAAAACATAATATTCTGTTGTCCGACCTGCATAAGTGTGCGAACGTTGAAGGCAGCCAGTTTGAATGGTGCACGTCGGTGAGAGCAGTTTTGCTCTATGCTTGTGAAACCTGGCCTCTCAGAGTTGAGGATGTTAGACGACTCTCTGTGTTTGATCATCGTTGTCTCCGAAGGATTGCTGACATTCAGTGGCAACACCATCTTAGTAATGCAGAGGTTCGGGCGCAGGGACGATAATTCCATTGGTGTCACCATCTTGAAACACCGACTTCGGTGGCTTGGACATGTTCTACGAATGTCGTCCCAGAGAATTCCTCGTCGTGCATTATTTGCCGACTCTGGGACTGGCTGGAAAAAGCGGAGAGGTAGTCAGTATATGACATGGTGTCATGGTATGAAAGAAAGCTGCAAAGGGCTAGCTTCTGTTGGTCCTTCACGACTCCCTGGCTGGGGTCGGAGAGACGGTGTAACACAGTGGCTAGAGACGTTATCAGATATGGCTCAGAATAGAAGCCAGTGGTGATCCTGCTGTAACCTTCTTTTACTTTCTTCATAAAAAAGGGTGCCTCTTCCTTAACTGTGAGATTTCTTCTGATTGTACCTTTCCGTTTCCCCCATTATTGTTCTCTCTCTTTTTTTTTTCTCCTTTCTCTTCAAATTATCATTGTTTTGTGTGGCGCATATATATTTGGTGCCCCCTTGTACCAATATTTATGTGTTCAAATAAATAAATAATAAATAAATAAAACATATTATTAATGTAACCTATGTGTTCAGCTTTAAGCCAAACTGTATGAGGGTGGTCTATCCAAAGCTTTATTTTTATTATTTATTTTAACACATAGGTATTGGTACAAGGAGGCACCAAATACATATGCGCCACGCAAATCTCAATTGATTTGTGTGAGGGCTGTGATACTGCCCGGGTGCCCAAAGCTAATGGATAATTATAATTTAAAGCTTCTGCTCTATGATTAACAATGGAGTCCTTTGATAAAAAACCACCACATCTTAAATTAACCCTCACCACATGGGTTCTGTTCAGTGATTTCATCCCCTACATGTGTTTCTCGTAAAAATGGAGGGTCGAAAATATGTGTTCATTAATTCTCATAAATCCTAGTGTCATCAAAACTTTTGAAACAAGTTGTTATGATTTCTCTCATTGTGACCCATCTACTCCTATTACTTAGTATTTCTAGGACACCTCTTCACTCGACACGTCCTCAGATCAGAACATGGTTGAAGAGGAACGTATTTATATTCCAAATAACAAGGGTGGATGTAACTAGGAATTACAATAAGGTAAACGTTAGTATATTTATAATTTTTGCATAAGATACTTCTAGAGTCTTCTCCAAGTATCCTCTAGCGCTGGTCGGCTAAGAAATAGCCAATCAGCGTGCCCCTGTGGTATGTGCTACTTATGTCTGTCGACATAATTAGTATGTAACACCAGTCGGAAGTGGGTACCCTGGCAGCAGAAGGCTAAGAAGATCAAGTTGAAGGAAATAAAAAGGAATTGGGAATAGGAAGAATCATGCAGAATGTCAAGGACAAATGATGGAAGTTTGCAAATGAAGCATTCCATGTATGGTTCTCACATTTTATCAAGAGACTCAGTAATTTTGTATTCAAACACAATCGGTTGTCCGTACTCGTGTTCCTGTTCATTATACCCCGACACAATTCTGAGCGGAATATACTTTAATCCAATTCATATCCCGCTAACACACGTGAAAATAGTAATGATGTCATCAATATATTTGCGTCCTTTATTTTTACAGTCTGTAAATTTAACCATGTTTCCAAGGTATTCCGTCAATATATGATTCATGTGATTCTGGCTTGTACAATGTTGGTAGCAATGGATACGTGCAGTTTTTATTTAAAGAGCGTTCATAATATCACCATGTAAGCGGTATGGCATATAGTATGCGTATGAGAATTCTATATTGTACCAAAATATAATATTAAATAAAGCCATAAATAAATAATAACAGATTCAAACTGAGTATACTCCATTGTAAGAAATCTATCTAGTTGCAGCTATTTATCTTAATATGTCATATATGTTCATTTCTTAGTTTTTGGAGAAGCTTATTAAATCTACTTAACAAATTCTGTCAAAAAATATATATAATTCCTTCCTTCTATTATTTTTATATAGACTAACCTCATCGGTACTTACAATATGATTCGACTTGCATCTGGTTTAATGATAGCAAACGAACCAGACGCTGATAATCAACGTGGTGTAATAATTAATACTTCGAGTATTTCAGCATATGAAGGTCAAGTTGGACAAGCTGCTTATTCAGCAAGTAAAGGTGCGATTGCTAGTCTTACACTGCCAGTTGCTCGTGATCTTGCACGAGAAGGGATTCGGTGTGTTTCCATTGCTCCAGGTCAGTTGATAACAGTTTTTTAGTTCAATGCCAATGCCCTTGATTATTAATACTAGTTTTAATGGCTTGAGTGTTAAAAAATATTACTTTTTATCACTTTGTCTTCCTGATGGGAAACTTGAACACCAAGGTCAGGATGGATAACACTGGATAAGAAGATATGATGGAATGAAATAGACTGGGAGAAGAGAACGAGAATGGCATGAGATTTGCGAATCTGTGTCCCTTAAAAAGTGGTTATAGTTGGCACTAACAGACGCATAGACAAAACTACATGGGTATCACCGGATCACACCACGGAGAACCAGATAAATCATATTTGCATCACTACCAGGATAAGTTTTCAATAGTGTTGCTGAACCGGATGAAAAATTCAGTAGGCGTCCAGATTCGAAATCAACAGGCCGGATTATGTACAAATCCGTCGTGCTTAGACCAAATAGCGACACTACGGATTCTCGTTGAACAATCAATTGAATTCAACTTGTCACTATACATCAACTTCCTCGACTATGAGAGCCTTATGAAACATTCTTCGACACTATGGTATACCTGAGATAGTCGTCAACATCATCCGGAATTCATACGCCGAACTACAGTGCAAAGTCGTGGATAGAGGACAGCTGACTGACAAATTTCAAGTGGGGACCGGAGTAAAACAAGGCTGCTCACTTCCTCTTTATCTTCTGGTAGTTGACTGAATTTTGAAGACCTCCACATTTGAGGGGAAGTACGAAATACAATGGGCAGCTTGGATGCAACTAGACGATTCGGACTTCACAGATGACCTAGCACTTCTATCCCATACACACCAACAAATGCAAATGAAGGCAACTGATGTAGCAGCAGTTTCTGCATCGGTAGGCCTCAACATACAAAAGGGAAAATGCAGGATCCCCAAATATACGACACAGAGAACACCAGCCCAATCACACTTGATGAAGAAGCTCTGGAGTCTTTCGCGTACTTGAACAGCGTCATCGATAAACAAAGAGGATCTAATTCAGATGTAAAGGCAAGGATTGGCAAAGTAAAGACAGCATTCCTACAATCGAAGAACATATGGAACTCAAAACAACTGTCAATCAATATCAAAGTGAGAATCCTCAATACGAACGTCAAGACAGTTCTACTGTGTGGAACTGAAACTTGGAAAACTATCACAACCATTACCAAAATGCACAGGTATATATAAACAATTGTCCACAAAGGATACTCGATGTCCGCCGACCGAAAACCATCAACAACAGCCTACTGTGGGAGAGAACAAACCGGCTTGCAGCTGAAGAGGAAATTAGGAAAAGACACCGGAAGTGGATAGGACATAAAATTACGGAAATCACCAAACTGCATCATGAGGCAAGCGCTAACTTGGGATCCTGAAGGGAAACGAAAAAGATGAATGCCGAAAAGTACACTCCATCGAGAATTTGGAGCAGACATGAAAAGGAAGAATAGGAACTGGAGACGATTGTCCCGAACAGAGTTTGATGGAGAATGCTGGTGGGCGGTCTATGCTCCTCCATGAGGGGTAACGGGTGGAAGTAAGTTCACACATTTATCATGTGTATGTAGAGAAATCAAAGATCTTGATTTATTAACCAACATGAACCAGAAACATTTATGTAACAGGTCTAAAAATCATTACTGCATTACAAAGATATTCCCTCTTTATCTATCCCATTATTTCTGAATTTGTTTCATTGCCTTATCGTACTTTTTTGAATCTTATATATTGATGTACACTGTTCGCTTCGCGTATTGGTCTTATTCTAAATATATACATTTATACCTATTTGAATATCTGAGCTATCTTTCCTATCTTGTACATATTTCAACGAGTTATCTGTTTTTTTTTTGTTTGTTTTAACACATCATCATGTCTGTTTATCGTACAACCTATTCAGACGCGTTCACTAAATGTTTATGACTCTTCCCTTTATAAGTTATAAAAAAGTACAATCAGAGACATCATTGTAGTTGTCAATATGTATTGAAATAGATGGACCTTATTCAGATGTCAATACCTGAACTGCTATCATATAACTGGCGATCACTCAATATTTATCGTCAGAATCGATCAAGAAATAAGGAAAGGAAACTTGTTGAAATACTATGTGTTGAGAGTTCTATATTGCACAAAAAATAGAATATTGAAATAAGTTATTCATGGTAGTTATAATAATAGTAATACTTTCGAAATTGATTAACTGATCACTAATGGTGTATTAAACCGAATTTAACCACAAAGTTTGTGGAAGAATTAAGAAAGTTATCCATACTTTACTATGATCACTACATTATTTTCTAACATAGTGTTTATCAGCGGCTTATCACAGTATTAAATTTCATAGGTCTAATGAATACGAAGTCAATACTGGGAGAGCGTGGATTCAATCCTTCTGAACTTGATTATTTAAATGATATTCAATTGGCGATACAGCGTATGGGTAAACCGGATGAATTTAGTTCCTGTGTAATGAATATTATTCAAAATCCAATGATCAACGGTGTTACCTTAAGACTTGATGGAGGAGGGAGACTTATATTTTTATGAGACTGTCGTATTTTACTTTCTTGTTGTGTATATAATCGTGTATAGACAATTTACAAACAGAATATCTAACCTTTGTACACAGCCACTTACAGACATACGTTGTATTTATCAATTTTCCAACTTATATTTCTTTAGGATTGTTTGATACCCCATTACTTAACGCCGTACCGAATGTAGAATTGTTGAAAAAGCTTTCATTAAACCCAAATCGTATAGGTCAACCTGAAGAATTTGCAAAACTTGTTGAATCCATCATCTGTAATCCAATGATTAATGGTACAGTAATTCGATTGGATGGAGGTGTACGTCTGCCTCCTTAAATAATTATTTCTTTATAATTCTCATCATTACAATCAAAATATAGCATGTATATCATTTTTACACTTACATAAAAAATTGCTCAAATCCTCTATTGTTGTTATTCTACTTTAAATTAAATAAAGCTACCATTATTAGTATGGGGTTGTGGAGGTTGTTAAGTTTTTGATTGAAATCATGAATCTATTGATGTTAGATCACCATTAAAAACCTAAAAGCATCGGATGACCGTTTTGTCTTAGTATGGGACTCCTTAGCAATGCACATCCACAAGTTCTAGTTAGAAGCCATGGCCAGCAGAGCTAATCCATATCAACTAGAAACAGGTATCTACCCCAGACAATGGGAAATGGTCGTGTAATTTCATGGATTGATTGAAATTAGACATTAACACCGTTGGGTTTCGGCTCATTGGCCTAGAATTTATGCGTTCGTGAGCGAGACCGAAGATCCTGGGTGCGCACTACTGATGGGTCCCGTACTAAGACGAAACGACCATCCAGTGCTTTCAGCTTTTCATTGATGGTCTAACACCAATGCTTTCTATCAAATTGACCATTGTCACAAAACAAACAATTTACTGAAACTTTTAAAATACCGATAATATTAGATAGATTAGGCCATGTTATCTTCAATAAAAATAATGCGAATTACATCAAACACGGTCAGTTTCCGATCGGAGCCAATATCCTTTTCTGATAATCGAATATTATTAGTTTTGGGGTTTGTGGAGATTGTAGTAGCTCAGATCGACTAAAATTTATCGAAGTGTCTAATCTCACAAATGAGATACCCTCGAAATCGAAGTTGGCAAAAAAGCGATTTGTCTAAAAAGTGGTTTTTTATTGAGTAATAGACATAAATTTGTTACAACCCTCAAATCGTGACGTATCTATTGCTCTTAGCGCGTCTGTAAGTCTGAAATCAAAAGGATCTCCTATAATACTAACGTAAACAATAATTATGACATACGATAGTGCAAATGACAGCTGATAACTGTCTAATATTGATAACATTTTATCAACAAGCCAAAACGAAACCAAGAACAATAATATAAAGACCGTCTCGTTTAAACAAGGATTAAACGACCATGAAAAATTGCGAATAACTGCTACGAGGATTGAGAAAAAGTGATTATAATGATAAATACAATAAATGTTGTAAGTAGACGTAAATATTTTAGAATAGTACATCATAAACTTGCGTTACGACATGCACATAGAAATTGCTACGAATACAACTGTTTACTGAATATTAATAAGTGGTATAAAACAGTACACAGAGAGTTGATGGGACGAGTGTAAGTACGGGGAATGTATACAAACTTCACATTGACTCGTGAATTCGAAAGTGATAACAGTTCAATATAAGTTTAAACTACTTACAAATTAACACTAGTTCAAACTAGCCACTGATGTTTTGGAAGTGCTTGATGTACGTACCTTAACATTCAAGTTTGAACTCGCTGACATTGTACAAGCTTCTACAAAGAACCTGCTTTCATTTGTGTTGGTATTTACTAGCATCGTTATTTACAGATTTTACTCAGAGTTACATTTAAGTGCTACTTTTAGTCCAGTCATGCAATCAGTAATAGAACACAGGAAGTTAAAGGCTTCTCAACTAATCAAGTCCTTGTATTGTTCTGTCGTTCGATTTTTATAGTTTCTCAGTCACGCCATTTATAGGACTACCGGTAAATTAGTTGTAATTCATCAGGCAACAATTTCATCAGATTTCTAGATTCTTGCTAACCCGAGTAGACTAACCCAAGGCCTAGATCTAGGACATTCTGCTTATTAGAATCCAAAAAGTAGAGTAATTTCAGTCTACAGGTATTTTGAATAAAGCTATCATGATTAACATAGACTTTGAGTAGTTCCTTTGTTCATCGACCACAATTAGCCATAGTCTACATCTACAGGAAACTCAGTAAAACGCTTTAGTTTATTGAATCAAACATACGAAACCAGTCACTAAATGTCTTGAAAATTAATCTGACTCGTACGATGAGCAAAAGACCATGCGGCGGGTAAAAACCAATCGTACCACCCAAAGGAAACCTGATTTGAGTAAAGCTTTCCACTCTATCATTTTTTTAAACTCGAGCATCAGTTTATTTATTTGAACACAGAAATATTGGTACAAGGGGGCACCAAATATATATGAACCACACAAAACAATGGTAATTTGAAGAGAAAGGAGAAAAAAAAGAGAACAATAATGGGGGAAACGGAAAGGTACAATCAGAAGAAATCTCACAGTTAAGGAAGAGGCACCCTTTTTTATGAAGAAAGTAAAAGAAGGTTACAGCAGGATCACCACTGGCTTCTATTCTGAGCCATATCTGATAACGTCTCTAGCCACTGTGTTACACCGTCTCTCCGACCCCAGCCAGGGAGTCGTGAAGGACCAACAGAAGCTAGCCCTTTGCAGCTTTCTTTCATACCACGACACTGTTAAGTCGGCTTTCCGAGAACTGCAACAGAGCCTCCGGAGGCCCTGAAGGAGCCGAAGAGTCTTAGCCAATCAGAGCACGATGGAGCTTTCTAGAATGCCAACGTGGCGTGCTACTATTGGTCAGTAGCATAATATGTCTTTTAGCGGATTGGCCAAGATATGATGTTGATTTAACAAATGTTAACATCTATAAATACCCGTGTTTTTCTGTACAAGAACGAACCTTGAAGTAAAGTACTTTTCGCATACTTTGCGCCTTCTCTCTCGTGTTCAGGTCGCTGTATAGTTCTAGCTTGGGGGTCTTCAAGAATAGCTTAGGAATCGAGTATAGCGTTCAAAATCTCAAGACTTATCAGACACCATGTCATATACTGACTACCTCTCCGCTTTTTCCAGCCAGTCCCAGAGTCGGCAAATAATGCACGACGAGGAATTCTCTGGGACGACATTCGTAGAACATGTCCAAGCCACCGAAGTCAGTGTTTCAAGATGGTGACACCAATGGAATTATCGTCTCTGCGCCCCAACCTCTGCATTACTAAGATGGTGTTGCCACTGAATGTCAGCAATCCTTCGGAGACAACGATGATCAAACACAGAGAGTCGTCTAACATCCTCAACTCTGAGAGGTCAGGTTTCACAAGCATAGAGCAAGACTGCTCTCACCGTCGCGTTGTAGATCCGACCTTTTACAGCCAGACTAACATCATGAAGGCGCCGAAGATGGCCCAGATTGGCATAAGCCGCTCTGGCTTTCACTATACGTGCATTGACTTTATCACTCACACCACCACCATCACTTATGCAGCTACCCAGATACACGAACTTCTCGACTACTTCTATCTGCTCACCATCCAGAGTGAGTACAGGATTAGAATCCTGCCAGTCTTGTAGAAGTACTTTGCACTTCGAAGGTGCAAAGCACATACCGTACCTACGGACATTGATTGCCAACTGATCCACACCACCATTACTTACATCCGTCAGAGCTGTTTCCAGAATGTCATCGATGGCAAAGTTGAAGAGGAATGGTGAGATTGGGCAACCCTGCCTAACCCCTCTGCTCGAATGGAATAGTGGAGAAAGGTGGTTGCATGCCCTCACTCTGCCTGAGGTGTTTGTGTATAGGGCTTTTAGGATGTTAATAAACTTCTCAGGCACACCTTTCTTCAATAGACAATCCCAGAGAACAGTCCTGCTCAACGAATCGAAGGCAGCCCTGATATCAAGAAACATTACGATTGTTGGCCTTTGATAAGTATGGCGGTGTTCTAACATTTGGCGGAGGGTGAAGATATGATCAATACATCCTCGACTAGAACGAAACCCAACCTGCTGCTCGCGAGTCAATCCTTCTCGGGTTTTGAACAACCTACGAAGTATAACGGAAGAGAATAGCTTGGACGCAATCGGAAGTAGACTTATCCCCCGATAGTTGTTACAGGAACGACGTGAACCGTTTTTAAAGATAGGGACAACTATCGACTCATTCCATGAGGTTGGTACACTCTTTAGTTCCCAGACCTTTGTAAACAACGTCGTCAGTACCTTAGTCAGAAAGTCACCACCATCTTTAAAAAGAGCCGGAGGTAAGTCTTCTGGGCCCGGTGATTTGTAACATTTCAAGAGTTGGAGTTCCTTGCGGACTTCCGCCTCATTTGGTAGATCAGTCGTCACCGGCCATGGAGGGCAGGACAGTCTGACCGATGTTGCCGGAGCAGCAGGCCAGTTGAACTGCCCATCGTCCAAGAGGTCGATAGATGTTAGTGATTGGCGTTCCGTCATCCTCGCAGATTGTTTCGCTCACACCAGACTTCTTGCTGTCAGTGGCTCGGATGAGTTGGAAGAGCTTCCGGAAATTACCAGTTGCAGCTGCTGCTTCCAGCTCATTAGCACGCTCCGACCACCAGGTTTCTCGGTCCTTACGCAAGCTTTGCCCGATTTCATTACGTAACATCCTTTGTCTGTGGTCAAACTCACGGTCATCCGGAGTAGAGCGATAGCCTTCAATGAGTTGTAAGGAACCAGAAGAAACCCAGTGCTTGTAAGCGGGACGTTTCGCGAACCCACAACAGACTGTACCAACCATTTTCATGGCGTCATGCAATTGCAAGCAATGCTCATCTATACTTTTCGGTGGAATGGAAGCTAGCCTAGAAGCTAGCTCGGTTCGGTACTTACAAGTAACACAAACTGCAGCCAGCTTGCTAACATCAATCCTTTGGTGGCGGTCACTTCGTTGTCCACTGAAAAGTAAGGTAAGGTTGGAGCAGACCAGAGGATGATCAGATTTCAGATAGGTACTCCAAAAGGAGCGACAGTCTTGTAAACAACCACGCCAGCGGTAGCTGACCGCGATGTGATCAATCTGAGTCCAGGCTAGAGATGCAGAAGGAGGACGCTAGGTGGCATATCGGCGATGACTGTGCCGAAAGTTAGTGCTAGCCAGAAACAGGTTGTGGTCTGTGCATAGTTGCAGTAGACGTTCCTCGTTATCTGTCCTGCGACCAACGAGTCCCCATTGGCCACCCAAACGACTCTCTTCTGTGCCTAGACGCCCGATCTGAGCATTCAAGTCTCCAGCTAGTATTACAATATCTGTCGAACGCACTTTCTGGAGAAGAACAATTAACTGGTGGTAAAACTCATCCTTGATTGCATCCGGGCTGCAATCTGTCGGGGCATAGGCGGAGACGACGAAAAGACATCGTTTCTCACGCCGATTTCTTCTCATTTTGATGGAACTTTCTAATCTAACAGCACATAACCGACTGTAAATGGGGATCCAATCGATTAGTGCTGCCTCAGCTCTAGCGCTTAGTGCGACACCAACGCCAGCAAGACCAGACGAAGATGCCACAGGGTCCCCGGATAAACGCATATAAAACAAGCTTTTTGAAGCGACAGATGGAGAGCGAATTTGTAGTACTTCACCAGAGTCTTGAATACGGGTCTCGGATAGACAACGCACATCAATATTAAGACTTTCCAAAGACATAGCCAGCCCCATCTGTTGTCCGACCTGCACAAGTGTGCGAACGTTGAAGGCAGGCAGTTTGAATGGTGCACGTGGTTTCAGAAAAACTGCTTCAGTACTCGTATTCCGTGGTAACATACAATTTCCAACCAGGCAGTGACTCGAGAGCATTTAGATAGAGCGGAATTTTCACCATAGGCGAGCTGTTGTATAAGTCGAAAAATAAGGACTCTGTAGCTAAGTGGATAATGCAATGGCGTTTGAAGCGGAAGGTATTGGGTTCGAGTCCCAGAGTGAACATCAACTCTGAGATGCAGGTACATCCAGCTGACAAGTCCCAAATAGGACGAAATGCGCTTTGTCGTGGATTCCACTGCTAGCCACTATCCGAGCATCAGTATTTTCATTTGAGTTGCTTCCTATGATTTTTTTGCCGATAATTGCTCTTAATTATTTCGGAACATAGTTCCTTAAATTGCCACATTTCATCTTGGATTCCATACTCTACAATCAACGGTTAGTTCTGTCTGTTACCCCTCATGGAGGAGCATAGACCGCCCACCAGCATTCTCCATCAAACTCTGTTCGGGACAATCGTCTCCAGTTCCTATTCTTCCTTTTCATGTCTGCTCCAAATTCTCGATGGAGTGTACTTTTCGGCATTCATCTTTTTCGTTTCCCTTCAGGATCCCAAGTTAGCGCTTGCCTCATGATGCAGTTTGGTGATTTCCGTAATTTTATGTCCTATCCACTTCCGGTGTCTTTTCCTAATTTCCTCTTCAGCTGCAAGCCGGTTTGTTCTCTCCCACAGTAGGCTGTTGTTGATGGTTTTCGGTCGGCGGACATCGAGTATCCTTTGTGGACAATTGTTTATATATACCTGTGCATTTTGGTAATGGTTGTGATAGTTTTCCAAGTTTCAGTTCCACACAGTAGAACTGTCTTGACGTTCGTATTGAAGATTCTCACTTTGATATTGTTTCTTTCATTTCAATTTACATCCTATAATCTTGAATCACTATTGTCTAATTACAAATCTAAAAGTGTTATCTAATATATATATATATATATATATATATATATATATATATATATATATATATATATATATATTGCATTATTTAGTACCGTAAACTAACTATACATGCAGGAATAGTTATAATGAGAAATACCCGTTTATCGAGATATGAATATCATAACCTAATTGATAACATTGGAGCTTTAAACAGAGACAGTTGCAGTTACATATCATCATTAAAGTAACAATATACTTGGATCGCGGAACATTCACATAAAATGTTCAACGAGTTCCACTCTAATCACGGTTTTTTGAGTTGGATAGTCTAGTATTAGTAGACTTTTCTTATTGTCCTATAAACTAAAAAAAACTTCGGAAATAAATGATATGTTCTGTTGATGTTGAATTGCTTTCCTGAATACTAGTTTGTTCAAGCATATGTTTATTTCACTCGTAAGAAAATCGTCTGATCATAGGTTTTCTGAAATATGACCTGAATATCCTGTTTCGTACGATATGTTACATAAATGACCCATCAACTTGAAAATCAATGGAATTTATTCGTATACATTGACCTTTACCTATCATTTCCGATAATTAAAAACTACTATAATTATTTCTATTGAAATAAATTAAAGTAGAATAAGACGATATAGAGACAATCTTTCTGATTGTATTTTTTTTTATTATTGAAAATAACATTTTAGAATTATGCAACTATTAGTAAACAGTCACATTGTGCTCAATTGATCCAATGTTGTTTATTTGAATCAACAACAAGGGATAACTTGAAGGAGTCAATAATATAAAACGAAACAGTTTCGTCACACACACACACACACAGAGAGTATGTAAAGAAAGATTATAAAGAAACTAAATAGGCTCTAGTTTATTCTTTCTATATTCAAATTTTCATCATAGGCATCATCTTTTATATAATCGAGGTAGTAACAAAGTTATTGACAAATATGAGTGAATTGGTAGTAGTAATAATAATAATAATACTAGACATGAAATATTATATCATCACGATGCATAGATCCATATCATCTATGTCTTGATCAAAACAAATAAAGACATAAAAGGTGAAATAGATCCTCTGAACTGAACAGTTCAACAATAAAAGCAATGAATAAATGATTACATTGATACTATTATTGAATAAACATTTTAAAAAAATAGAAACAAATATGAAGATTAGAATAGAGGAGAAAGAAAGAATCCAAAATATATATATATATATTAAGAGGTGAACAAGGAAATGTTTGATTTTCTCATTTATTCACAGTTATAATGAAATGAAAGACCTGATTTATATATATACATATATATATATATATATATATATATATATATATATATATATATATATATATATATCTGTATATTGTTTTTATGATTGTTATTATACACAACTTGTTATTTTGTAAGTCGAATGGAGTATCTATGTAAATAAGTAAATAAAACGGTATTTGTATTGAGTACAAGTTAGAAAAGCCATAGGTTAGCTTGAAAATATGTGAGTGAGGATGTGCTTGAATAGGGCGCTGAAAACTTATATGGTACAATAAATATTTTTTTTTAAAAAAAACTCACCAATTTTGTCAATTCCTTTTGTTTGATAATGAATTTTAAATTTCTATTATCCAGATCGATCATTATTGTCATTCATGTTGTTGTTGGTGTTGTTATGATTATGTTTATTGTTGATATGGTAATCACGATTTGAGAATAATTTCATAGCAATAACAATATTATCATATGAAGTTAATTCTTTAAACATTTGTGTAAATAATATTGGTTCAGCATGAATTCGAAGCATTTCAGAAGATTTTTCATTGACTATACGTATAACATATTGCCAAAAACGATTGCGTACTTCATCAATTACTTTTGGCTTTAAACAATTCTCTATACCTGTTGATGTTGTTATTATTGTTGATGATGATGATGATGATGATGATGTCAATACATGCATTGTACTCGATAATAACTTTTTATTTCCACTATCTGAATGAGCTACAAATTGATTTGCTTCAGCAATAAGAAATGGTCTTAACGGATAACTGATTTCATTACCAGCATATGAATAAGCTAAGTAAAGACATGCCATAATGATTGTATGCAATTCACGTTCTGTATGTATATCACCATTCTGTATAAAATTTCTTAACATCATATATAAAAACACAACATGAGTTGGATTAATAAATGCCACTTCAGACCAACCTTGTAACAGAAGTGCTCGATCAATAGCTCGAATCCATGCAACAATGATTGCTGGTTGAATACCATGTAAATCAGAATTACGTAAACGATTTGAATTTTCCAGTAAATTCATTTGTACACGTGCAACAATAAAAACAGATAAACATTTTAATAACTCACTTGTACTTGCTTTAAATATCGGTTGCCGAAATAAATTATAAACATGAGGCGCTGTAGTAGTAGTAGTAGTAGTAATAGTGGTAGTATTAGAAATATTATTAATAGACTTGCCACTTCCTGACTGGTGTTGATCTTTTTTCACTTCATCTTGTCTCCAACTTGTTTGCAACATAGATGTATCGTAATAACAACGATTGTCATGACTAAGATGTTTCATATTATAGTATCTATCAAGTTTATGATCAGATTTTAGATTTTCAAACATTCCATAAATTCCATCTACTTTTCCAGTACTTTTACGATTATTAAAACACTTGATGCAATCTGTTGATTGAGCATCAGTTCTATAATATTGTGGGATAAGAGTATTTTTTTGATTGTTATTCATCATACTTACTGGTTTCGTTGTTGTTGTTGCTGCTGTTGTTGTTGTCATAGCTGTAGTTGTGATAGAAATTGTATTATTTTCTTCAAACTGTTGATGATATCTTTTTAATTCTCTAATATCTCTAACAGAAGAGTTCTTTTTCACACGATCACTCATCTTCCTATCAGAGCGTACTTTAGATAATTTACGATCATAAATAATGTTATTTGTTCGAAAAAATGATTTTGTCATTGTAGTTGACTCAGCAGAACATTTTTTATATTTTTGTTGATAAAAATTATTGTTATTATGATGAGTGAAAAGTTTTAAAGCATAACATGATATTGATTTTGTAATATTTCGATATTTATCAAATCCCATTAGATTGACCTTATTCTGTACATGAATAGGAGATGATGGATTTGTTAGATCTATATTAAATTCAGTTAAACGTCTATCAAATTTACTTGATAATTGTTCTTCAGTTTTATTTGTTTCCTTATGGTAATTGTGTTGTATATTATTGTCAGGGATTTCAAACGTTTGAGCTGATAAACAGTTATGTACACAAGATAAATTAAAACTTTTAATATTACTATTTTCAGAGAGCGTAGAAGTATTTGGTGGTATAAGTATTGGGGCATAATTATCTTTAACAGTACACAAAGAGGAGTTTCGTTTACCTGACTGATTATCATGATGATTGTATAGGGGGAAACGCATATCGAACGAACAACTACGTGTACTAGGTGAAGTATCAGTGACATTCCTTGAAATGTGTTCTACTATCAATTGGTTATTTTGATATTGGTGATAGTTATGATGTGTTGGATTAGGATGGTGATATTCTCTTGGATAAGTGTCCACTGGAGATGCATTATCGTTGAATGTTGAAAGCTGTTTAGACGATTTTTCTGATATTGTAGACGTAGGTATATAAAAGTAATCATTATTATTCTGACAACTTTGCACAGTAGAGTTAGTTTCAATAAGTGAATAAGGTGAATTACTTACATAAAGCTGTTCGTTTGAACGTTTAATATTTGAACCTTTAGATCTTGCAACCCACCTTAAATCAACAAGGCTAGGTGTATATGGCATGGTATTACCAATACTATTATTGTTATGATGGTGTGTAGCACAGCATTTCCGATTAAACTCTGTAGATAAACAGTGCGAATAACGATGTCTCAATCGTGAATTTGGCTCAGATAATTGTTTATGATGTTCATTATTATTATAAGTAGTAGTATTGTGGTGAAATATAAAATCTTTCCGATAAACTGATTTAAAGTCTGTCAGGGAGTTTTGACCAGATGAACGATACTCCTGGCTAACACTGTCATTCATAATATCTCTGGATTCAAAATGACAAGAATTTTGTGTTATTCCTAAAGTTTCAAATCGAGAAACCTCTTTTGGAATTGATGTATCACAATATGATGAGGAAGATATAGGATTTAATTGAATATTCCGTATATTATTAATTAACTTTGTTGAATCTTCTGGAAGATGTTCCTTTTGTTGGTGACAATAAAAAATCGGGATTTCTATCGTTGAATGATTTTTTGAATTAACTAAAACTTTCTTTTGATCACCACAACCATTAACAGCATTTTTTCCATCAGATTTAACAGATAGTCTGTGAATTCGATCATCTGGGGTTCTTAAACTTGGAATTATCCCGTTACTAATAGACATTTTTGTTTTACGTGATAAACCAGAGAATAACAATCGTTTTAAGCTAAACATATTTGCAGGATTGTGAGTTTTATCCGATTCTGCACAACGATTGCCAGAAATATATTCATATTCCTTTTGTTGTATTGTTAAAGCTTCCCCATATTGGTCAAAATTCAAATTTTTATTTATTGATTCATGTTGATCAATGTATTCATCATAAGGTCCATTATGTGGTGTAGATGGAATGTAACACTTGAATTCTTTTGTTTTATGCACATCACTTAATGGTCTTCTAGGTGAATGTACTGGATATTGTGATGAATCTTCGTTGGAAAATGTTGAAAGTACGGTTCCCATACTGATTTGTTAACAGATTTATCTACCAGTCATCATCATCATCATCATCATCATCCTTATAACCATACTTGTCACTATTACTGTTTAGAAGATTAACATTGAGTATGGTCCATCAGTCGACGGAAACTACCTCCATACATGAGGTAAATATCTTCGTTAAGCAGTAAATTAGTCCATATTTCAAGTTATTGTACTATCATTCTCTGATAAATCGATTATTTTGAAATATTCAGGAGCTTTTCCATTTGGTTAAAGTTACGGTAGTAATAATAACTAACCAAGATGTTAACTGAGTAGAGTTCCCTACCTCCACATCTCCCTACATTTGTTTGTCTGTTCTACTACTAACTATATTATTTTTCCAATTTACCTGTAATCAGGGTCTGAGCTAATCAATGAGTTACGAGCAGTCGAAAAAGGGTTACGCCCACACATTAAGTAAACTGATTGGTAGAATATTATTTTTTCAGATTTTATAGGTCACATGATTAGCTTTACCCTAATCCCCTTCGCTAGATATATACATATCCACGTTCTTAAATGAAACTGATGTCTGTCCCAACTTTCCAATTGTTATCCTGTCTGCCTATCCATTTCTTATATTAAACTAGTCACTGGAACTTATCAGGCATTCAGCTCAGATAACTAATCTACTAAAGCGGATAAGAGACCTGGGGACTCACAGAAATATAGTTCTTTTTATTTGTGGTATACGAGTCAACAATTTTTTTCCTCAACACAATGTAACTTCCCAAATTAAGAAGAACCATAAATTTTTATCATTGCTGACAATTGAAACATTATTTATTATCACTAGTATTCATAATTTTAATGAGTTAGTTTACCTATTGCATTATCATTTTGTACTTGTTATCTTTTGTAAAAGAATAGTCCGTTGATATACAAGGTAAATTAGCCAACTATTTGTAAATGGATGCCCACTGCTGAGGAGTCCCGTACTAGGACGAAACAGTCATCCAGTACTTCTAGGTTTTCCATGGTGGTGTAACTTCAATTGACTCATGATTTCAAATATGGATATTTGTGAATACATAGAAAATTTTCCCTTGATTTTTAAATTATTCTGTAAAATGTCATCCTTATTTTAACCCCTACCTCCACCAAAAGCAACAACATTAGAAGAAAATCAAGGATTCTAAAGTTATTTTGTATACTTTTCAAAATAAATAGTAGTCTAGATTCTTCTTTATTGTATATAAATATTTTCGCCTTTTCTCAATTCTTAAAGAAAACTAATCTTAAATCTAATGGCATAAACTCTCAAACTTAAATTTCGTATTTGTTACAACTCATCTGCAAATTGTGCACATAATGAGTTCGAAAGTTGTTACATATGTTAGGATGCATATCACCTCTTAGCTCGCCACAAAACTATTTGATTTAGCGTGACCTATAAATAAAGATGGGTAAGTAAATGACCTTATCGACCTAGGAGTGGGACCACAGAGTTCAAGGGACAGATTCTTGAAACCGTTTATCCGTAGCCAATATGCGAATTGTTTTTTATGTATTATCTGTGACTCTCCCTACCTCCCTAGTTATGAGAAGGCAGAACAGCTGGAGGTGTTCATAATCCCAAGGAAACAACTCACTGGTAAAATACCTCAATACTGATGACGCTATGACTTACTTTTTCAATATTAAATTTGTTGTTTTTTCTATTAACGCTATCTAACCATTCTTGGGAAATCCTATCTCACTTGCTGCTTTTAGGTTTTCTATATCAATCTCCAAATGATATAATATAATACACAATATTATTGTTGACTTTTGTCATTTCATTTATCATTCAGAATAATCATTTCGGATTATGCAATATTGTTATTTATTAATTCGATCAATATATTTTGATAGAACTCAATAAGAATTTGACCCTAAATAATATAATATTAGCTATTTCATTAGACAAATTCAACCTATTCATATTTAATCTATGACCTGTTTGATTGAATAACAAACACGAATTTACAAAATGCTAAATAAACACTTTCAAATGAATAGTTATGAGAGAAAAAATGAAAATATCTTATCTTGTGACCATAATAGCTTAGTAGCAACACCAGTGAATGTGACACTGGTTAAGAAACAAATGAAGCCAACAGTTCGCTCAAGGTTCTAGATACACCTTACTATCATAAAATTTTGGTCCAAGACTTTCTACCATTTGCCTCCAGGTACCTATTATCATGATCAAGTACATGTAATATCAGATTTTAATATGATAATTGAAATCTATTTACATCGGTAAGACACAGTTTGACAATAGTTATGATTGTTATACTTCACTCCTCCAGAACCTTATAACTCACTAACTAGTGGAATAACAGAGGATAAAGTCTGACCTATAAATTCGAGAAAACAATATTTAGAAAAAAAATACCGCTCAAAATATATATATATTTCAAACAACATAAATTCAAAATAATTGGTCTGTAACTAAGGGAAATGGTTTATTTGAATAAAAATATCGAACTATATCCACGTTATCCACAAAGTAAAACTAATCACCAGTGGTTGGTTGAATAAATTACTGAAATAAAATAGAAGAAAAAAAAACAAAAAAGGAATTCTACTTCAATCAGGAGTTATTTGAAACGTAAGTTCTCTATTCAACAACTTTGTGTAATTGTCAGTGTGGGATTTGCATTTCATTGAAATCATGAATCAATGGAATTTAGGCAACCATTGAAAACTGGGAAGCGCTGTATTATTCTAGTACGGGGCGTCTCAAAAGTGCGTATCCGATCCCCCGCAACCAAGGACCTTCAATCTTGCTAATGTTCAACCTCGCGAATGTGCGCTATTGAGTAAACCTATATTAGGGTGAAACGGACGTCCAATCATTCCATGATTTTATTGGTTGTCTAACGTAAATTGGTTCATGATTTCAATCAAACTTCGTGTAAATTGGAATCAACAGGAAACTTTGGACACGGGTTTAACGAATCAAGTTTCAATTGCAGTTTTGAGGAAACTGATGAGCTCCTCGGAAATTGCACGCACGTTGTTCATTATCACAGATTGAGATGTTATCACTGACTCTTTTTTATATTTATTATTACCTGGATTCTATTGGTCAAGTTTTCAAATTATTCTGTAAACTAAATAACAATTGGGTAATCAATTAGTAGTCAGATATATTATCAAAGAGTTTCTCAGACTGTAATCGATCAACAAATTTAGATTAACACTAAAATTCAGATGATAGAAAACACTAGCCATCATACAAATCAAGAGCGGGAAAGCAGCAGGACCCGACAATATACCAGCTGAAGCACTGAAGTCAGACATCGAAGTAACTACAAACATGCATCACCATCCATTCAAAAACATTTGGGAAGAGGAACAAGTGCCGATGGACTAGAAAGAAGGACATCTCACCAAGATTACAAAGAAACGAGATCTGAGCAAGTGTAAAAACTACAGAGGCATTACACTACTGTCAGTTCCAGGGAGTCTTTAACAGGGTGTTTCTGAACAGGATGAAAGACGCAGTAGACGCTCAACTTCGAGATCAACAAGCTGGATTCCGTAAGGACCGGACGTGCACAGACCAGATGGCGACGTTACGGATCATCGTCGAACAATCCATTGAGTGAAACTCGTTAATATACATCCATCTCACTAATTATGAGAAGGCATTTGACAGTGTAGATAGGAGGACGTTATGGAAACTTCTTCGACACTACGGAGTTCCTGAGAAGATTGTCAATATTATCCGGAACTCATACGACGGACTACAGTGCAAGGTCGTGTGTGGAGGACAACTGACAGATGCATTCCAAATAAGGACCGGAGTAAGACAAGGCTCTTTACTCTCTCCCTTCCTCTTTCTTGTGATGGTCGACTGGATTATGAAGACCTCGACATCTGAGGGAAAACACTGCATACAATGGACAGCTCTGGACCAATTAGACCAGTTGAACTTCGCAGATGACCTAGCCCTCCTATCGCCTCAACATACACACGGAGAAACAAAGAGAGAACAAACCAGCTTCCAGCTGAAGAGGAAATTAGGAAAAGACGATGGAAATGGATAGGACACACATTACGAAAATAATTAAACTGCATTACGGGACAAGCCCTAACTTGGAATCTTGAATGGAAGTGGAAAAGAGGAAGGCCAAACAATACATTACGTCGGGAAATAGAATAAGATATGAAAAGGATGAATAAGAACTGGAAAGAGCTCTAAATGATTGATTGGGACAGGGTTGGATGGAGGATGCTGGTGAGCGGCCTACGCTCCTTCACGATGAGTAAGAGGCGTAAGTAAGTAGGTAATATTGTCTTGGCAACGTTTCTGACAGTGACAACTGACGATAGTTGAAGAGAAAGCATTAATGTGAGACAGTAATTTATGAATTACTTTTGATCGACGCTAAGATGACCTCGAGAAAATTCACCTACTTACTAGGGTCTAAAGATAGTTATAAAATAACGTGAGGAACTAGGATTAGGATTGAGAATTGGAGGTTAAGTTTAGAAATTGGAGTTAAAGTTTTCATCACGAAGTGACATCAGCGATAACGTCAAAATTCTATTTAACTATGTGGATAAATGCATTTTGCGCCACAAACCAATACTTGTCTTCGATTTCATTGATTCATCCATGAATTATAGCCTCACCAGCATTAAAATCATCAAGGTTGAAACCATATCTGGGTGATGAGCATTTAGAAGCCTTTTTCTGATTTATAGACGAATTATATTCATTCCACTCTTTTCGGACATTTTTGCAGACAAATTCTCTCGAGCAGTGCTAAGATGAAGAAACAAGTAATTCTTTTAAGCTATTCTTCATTCATATATGTCCATTCCAATACCTCACTTGTAACTATGTCCATATACTATATACAAGGTACATGCGTTTTTTTCAGTCCATCTTTTTTCTTACATGAACTATAAGAACTGAGTAGACTTATAGTTAGCTTAGTCGGTGTGTTACAGAACTCTAATGCTCTACACATTCTTTGCATCTATTCTTGACTGCTTTTTCTTTCGATAGCATCATGTCTGAAATATGTGTATTCTAGGCAGAATCGGTATTCGACCTTGATTATTTACATTGTATTAACGTGCACAATCGATGGAATAAATACAAAGTAAATAGGATACATAATTCATTACCTACTTTCTACTTATTTCCTTACTCCTGTTACCCCTCATGGAGGAAAATAAGCCGTCGACGAGAATTCTACAACCAACTGTGTCCTGGGGTCTTTCCAGGTGTTCCCAACTGCTACTCATTTTTATGTCTG